AAAAAGAGAGCTCGTGCTTTCGAGTGTTTTTTTTGGGGAAAATGCTCAAGCTTTTTTCTAAAGGGTTGAAGGATACTTTTTCCCAGCTGGGTTCGTGCACAGGATATGCCATAATTGCCTGGCTTTCAAAGCTTTTTGCAGTCTAATGGCAATTGACTTGATGGCTTTAACTGACTGAGAAAAATTAAGGCCATCAACAGGTGCAATGCGAAGGACTAGAGTTGTTAGAAGTAGCTTTCAACCTGTGGAATTAACTGTTTTTAAGAGAGCCAAGTAAGTTTGGCTATGGTTTTATAGTTTCAATTTTTCTTACTATTATTTTATTTATTTGATATATATTTTAAGATTTATTTTATTTAAGTTATTTGAGCTTAAAATGACAATATATACCACCTTCTACTATAAGTATTAAAAAATATATTATATTTTCAAGCTTAATAAGCTTTAATTTATATTTTTAATGGAAAAATCAAATATTTTTATAAAGAATTGCCCAACTCAGTAACTCATTTAAGTAAAAAGAGTGTCATTGGAACGAAGGTTCAAAAATGTATTATTAGTACAAAACATGCGTTTCTTATCCCCGCCTAATTCTATAGCATACATTTCAATTATGCTGCACGAATCCATGTTTTCTTATATTTTTCTCAGCTTATATCTTAAAGCCAATATCATTTTTTACTGCTAGTAATGCAAAATGGACGCACGTTCCTTACGCTTATCAGGACATTTCACCAACACCGCCAAAGGCATATATATACACGCAACAGCTAAGTGTGTGTGGACTCCCAGCAAAGGGCAGCTGAAAATCCTTGAACATAAAAGGAAAACAAGAAAGCGCCAGCACATGCACATAAAAACATATGCTCTAGGATTTAGTTTGGGGCCCCATTCGCCGACGCGCTGCCCGCGCAACGCCGACTTCGACTACGACGCCGACTGCGCTGCAAATGCAACTACTGCACTCGGAAATCGTTGTGTTCTTTTTGTTGTTGCTTAAGGGTCATGATGCTGGTCCCTCGTACTTCTTTTAAGCCAAATCGGCTTAGAAGAGCCTTGCAAGAAAGTAATCTTAATACAGTTTTGAAATCTACGAGAGAATATATATGGCGGCAGTGTGGGGTCAAGAAAATGATATGGAAAATAGAAAACTTAACAAATACACACAAAGGTGGCCGTTTATTATTTGCACGGCTAAAAATTGTTGCCTTTTCTAATAGAAAATTATTTAAAGCTGAGGTCGTCATAGCGTTTCAAAAATAAATTGTAGGCTTTAAAAATGTGTGGGCTTTAATGTTTCAATTGATTGAAAAATTTACAAATTGTATTTGATTGGCCTGTCAACTCTTTTATATTATTCAAAAAAGAAATGATGAAATTTATTTTGTCAATTTTTGGAAAACTTTATTAAGATTTATAACCATAAGCCCCTCAAATTTGATTTCATCTTTATCGAATTCATTCCATGAATATTCCTTGATCTTGTTTCGACTTGGAAATTCTCTCGAACGATTTACCAGTCGCGCAGGCACAACTTCTTTTAAAGGGGAAAAATTGCAGCGGATAATAGAAAAACATTCAGAGAAATTGCACAGTAAGCGGCAACAAACAAAACAGCGAGCTTCAGCTGCGGAAAAAATAGTAAGAAAAAGGGAAATAATATAAACAAAATGAAGGAAAAGAAATTGGCGCTCGTGAAATGTTAACGGGGCCAGGAGGGCGCTGAGTTGAGCAGTGGCAGGAACCATCTCTGCAGCTATCCCGGAGCTGCGACGCCGGCAGAGGCAGTGACGTCGACGGCGACGCCGGCAGCGCTGAATGTTTTTATCCTTTCTTCGATGTGTCGTCGCGGCATTTTCCTCTTCCCCTATCTGTGTGTGTGTGTGAGTGCGAGTGTGTTTGTGCCAGGACATCACACGGTTTCGCTTTTCTTTTACAACTTTTTGTTATTATTTCGTTTTTTGCTCGACGCCTGCAATGTATTTCTTTCAGTTTGCTGGCGTTTTTTGCTTCATGTGCAAGAAAAAATACCATTTTACTTGGCTTTTTTATGTCTCTGTGTATGTGTGTGGCGGTGTGCGTGTTTGTTACTACTGCTTTTCCGAGCTCTACTTCTTGAGTTTCCTTTTCGCGCGCGCCATTTCGCTGCTGCTCTTCCACAGCTCCTGCTGCTACTTACCCGTACAACAAACATGGCCATAAGTCGCCGGAGCTCGCTTCCGCTCAGTCTGTTTTCCTTTTTCCACCAGTCGCTGCCTCTGCCGCGGTGGACGCCGCAGCCGCAGTCGCAGTCGGCGTCGCAGTAGCCGCGACTGTTGCATGTGGTCCGGGGTTTGTTGCCTTTGGCGGGCTGCAACTCTCGTTGTCTTCAGTTCGCTTGGGCTTGGCCAAATCTATTGGTCGCGGTGCCGCGCTCGCGTCCGTGTCCACATCCGCATCCGCAACCGTGCCGCATCCGCATCGGCAACCGTGTCCTTCCGCGGTCGACAGCTGCGGCCACCGCACGCCAGATGGCGCCTCATCGTGGCCAGGGCTGAAAACTGCAATTAGGCTAACGCGGAGTGGTTTTGGGGGATGGATTGGTATAGGAATCACATTCATGCCAAATTACATCATAGCAGGACCCAGGTTTTCAATCGGATTTGCGGACGGACATAAGGACATGGTTAGGACGACTTGACAGTTGGTGCTAATCAAAGATAGTTATACCTTATTGTATGTATGGTTACCACTTATTTGGAACCAAAATTCCTCACATTGACACAACGCAAGCCTTACTCAAAAGATAATCTTGAAGATGAATATAACCGCTGAAAAACACTACCTATTCGAGTCTTAGGTATTAAAGCTGAGTTAATCAAAACTTCCGGTTATCTGAATATTTGGAAATAGGGTTAGGCTGAAAACAATGAAGGCTTTTTGAGGAAGGGTATATATAAATACATGTATGATTTAATAGCTCATATGCATAATATTCCACAATATTCTTCTTCAAAATGGGAAATATATTACTGTAACAATTTTAAAATATTGCTCTAGGGCCAAATATACATTTCATTAGTTCTAAAAAATGCAATATCGAAGTTTAGAGCTGTAAAAATAAAAATAAATAAAATTGCTTTTTACACTACAGTACAACGAGGAAATATAAAAGTTGTGAATCTATTTTGTATATTTCACCATTTCTTACCACTTAAAATTTAAGAAGGAAAATCAAAATAATAAAAATCACAAACATGAGCAAAGAAAATCAATCTGCCGCACCGCCCAGCGCTCCGCCCTTCCGCATGTCGCGCAAATTCAGCTTTATTTTCTATTTTTTCCTCATTCTTCGCTTTTCTTACAAGAAAATGCTGCAGTGCGCGCTGAAACTGCAAATGTATGTCCTTATAACGGGCAGTGTGCATATAAAAAAGGAGCAAAGGGGGGAATTATAAAATAAAAAAGGGCAGAAATAACAGAAACTGCACCAGGAGGAAGGTTGCGAGGAGCAACAAAACATTCACAACACACAAGAGTCTCAGTTAACGCACACATGCACCGTATTTCTTTCCGTCTGTGTGTGTGTGGGCTTGTATGTATGAAGCATTCGCGCGCGCTCGCCATTTTCCTTTGCCTTGAGCTGCTGCACTTTGGCTTCCAGTTGGGTTTCTCAGTTGTTGCAGGTTATCCCACGCTCGCTGACGGACGGAGACGTAGACGGACTCACGGACACACACAAGACAGCCGGGCAAGCGGACAACCGGACAGCCGGAAACCCACACAAACGCACCCGAGAGACCAACCAGCAAACACTCACACTCAAATCTTCTCTTATCAGCCTCAAATGACGGTGTGAAAAATGGTTAGCTGCGACTTTAAGTGGCGTATACGTGATATCGACACAGTTCAACGTGGCGTATACTTTGTGCTACGCAATGGCAAACCACATGAAAGCGCACTTTTCACCTACAGTGCCAAAACCATGAGAACCTTAAATGAAGTTACTTATCATAAGTGCAAATTAAAACAAAATGGACATTTAAGATAAACGATAAAAACTTCGAGTTAAATAACTAATACCACGATTAAAGTTCCTTCACAAAAGTGCAAAAGAAAAAAGACAAAACCATGTAAATTTCACAAATAAACTAAAAAAAATTGTAACGCAAAGTTCCTATCACCCAGTGCAAATAAAATATATAAGTAAAATATTAATACCACTTTTAACAAATAAAATAATCTGCTAAGTAATTTTAACAAACAACTAAAATATTTATTAACCCAAATACTAATTAAAATAATAATAACAAAATTGAGAAAATACCAATTGGAAATAACAAAGAACACTTAACGGAAAAACCAAATAGACCCGCAGCACTTGACGACTAACTTAACACAATACTCACCCACCAAATGGAAATCGCTACCAACCGGAAAAAAACCTAAGCGCCATCCAGGAAATGAAACAATCATAGATGAAAAGTAAACAAAAACAAGCCAGCTGAGCAAATAAATCAAAACGCAAGGCAAAGAGCGACGAGCGACGACGTAGTGTTTACTAAACAATAAACAAAACATCAAGCAAAAAAACATATTGGTCAACATATTCAAGTAAACGAATTCCTACACATGTCCATCACGAGGATAACCATGAAACTCATAAAAAAAATAGGAAACTGACAGCCAGCGAAACTTTTTCAAGGTCGTCGTTGGCAAAGTTCTGGTGGCAAATCATTTCTATTTGTTTCAATTGGGTGGGCTCCTAAAAAAGGGGGCGAGCGGAAAAAGTTTTTGAAGTGCACTCCGCCCCCGCCATCTAAAATAAAATAAAAGTTAAGCCCAAATAAAACGACATCAAATTTGGTTGCAAACTTTTTGTGCGCTTTGCGTTCTGTTTTTTCAATGTGTGTATATGGAAAATCAAACAAACTGTGCTTCAGTTAGATAAATTGCTGTAAGCGTGGGTTTTCCCCGTTCGAAAGTGAAATTCTCGGACAGGAAAAAAAAGCGTTGCCTACATTTGGGCGCCACTGGGTTGGTTGTCATGCACGAACTCATTGGCAAATACAGCCATCCGGACATGGACGTGGACATGCTGAAGGATCAGCTGAAGCGGGGTAGCTACATGAGCGCCCTCGGACCGCCCACCCCCGGCGCTTCCGCCCCCTCGCCCTTCCTGATGCCCGCCGAATTCTACAAGAGCCTCTTCGCCAGCGCCGTTCTCCAGCAGCAACAGCAGCACAAGCTCTTCGCCGGAGCGCCCTCCCCCAGTCCAGGTCCCAGCCTATCACCGTCCTCAGGTCGTTCGCATCCACCCAGCAATTTGTTGTTCTCCACGGCAGCTGCAGTGGCGCATTGTGTGGCAGAGGATGGTGAAGTGAAGACGGAGCTCGAAGAGCCTGATCAGGAGACTGAGACGGAGACCCGGGAAATCGCTGGAGAGGATGAGGAGCAGAAGCCCAGCAATGGAAAAAACCCAACACGGAATGTTAGTATGGGAAAATGAGTGGAAGTAAATGAGGGGTCATAAATGGGATTTCAAGGGGCTTAATTTTGATTATTTTGGGATGCAGATAAGTACAAATAAAACAGGGCTTTCCTGTGTCTGCTCTCTCTCTCTTCATATGTAATTTAAGTTCGTTTTGTAGATGAAGCAACCCTCAAATTAGATTATTTGCCCTACAATTAAAACGTAATTCTCACATGATATACAAGGTTTCTATATTATTTACGTCAACGTGATATAGCGGATATTTAAATAGTAATTAAGGTCCCAAGCATATCATTTTAAATCGATATTAACCAAATATGTGGATTTTTGTTGTATCTATGTTGTACGCCAAATAATAAAATCTTTTTAACTTGTGAACATGGTACAGGTACTCTTTTCTAGTTTTTACTTCTAAGCTTGATATGTTTTTGTGAGCATTTTTTTAATGTTCATATGGAATGTTTGGTGTGAATGATCTTTTAACTCATAATAATGCTTATATCTGCAAGAATATAGAAGGCCGTTTCGTGAGATGAATGCCATTAAAAATGTTTTTTTTTTCATGCCCAATGCATTAACCAACAACATTTTTAAATGTTTGACGAAACCCGTTTTCACAGCAGCAACAATCCATTTTTCATTGCAGAAGCCGCACAACAACAACGGCTACTCTTGGTCCACCAGCAACAACAACGAGGTTGTCAGTAATAATACCAACAACAACAACCATCCAACAACACCACCCACTCCACCCAACGAAGCAAGCGCCACCCAAGCGACTTCAGTGTCCGCAATTAATTTGAATCAAGCCCAACCCGCATCACAGACGCGTCCAAACTTTGGCAGCTCCGTAAAGTCACCACCAACAGAACCGGACGCGGTCACCGCCGCCACGTGCAAAAGTCAGGAGAACAACTCCAGCTCGAACCCGCACTCAGGCCAACCCCATAACCCCCACTCCGACCCCGGTCCAGTTCAGACCCCCAGTTCGAATCCAACGGCCGCTGCCGTGGCCGCCGCTGCCGCCGCCGCTGCCGCTGCCAACATGCCGATCGGCGGCGTCCAGGGCCAGAACCCCACCCAGGGCCTGGTCCACTGGATGAGCGCCGTGATGGCCGAGCACATGACCGGCCAGACGCACCACGATCCGGGAGCCGTGGGCATGCACTACATGTGGAACGGCAACGTTGACGTGAGTACCACGGCCTTAGATTCACGGGGATTCATGGGCTAAATGCCGGGGGCGTGTCGCTTGTTAATTTAAGCGACACTCAAAAAAAAAATCATTCTTTTGAAAATCACATCACCATCTGATGGTTGTCATTTTTGGCATATTTATATCTCAAATGCATTTTCTGTGCCGAGCGCATAAATAAAGTTTACATCTTTATCAGTGATGAGTTTGAGGTGACTAGCAAAGAGAATATTTGTACCACAAACGTGAAAAATACCTACAAATTGTTTATAAATGATAACTAAACTAAACTTTTAGTATTAGTAGACATTTTATAATACAAGAAACTAATTCTTAACATTCGATTCGCAAAAAACTTTAGACCCAAATTTCTGATTTGAAATCTTAATCTGTTTGTTTTGATAATAACGTCTTTTATCTTATCAAATTTTGCTTGGAATCAAAACTTTAGAATCTTCAATAATTTATTTTCATAATTAAACTAAATGACTGGCTTACAGAATTTCGTAAATTTATATTGATGTATTTAATTAAATTGTTCAGTGTTTAAACACAGATTAAATATTTCATTTTTAATCAGACCTCAAAAGCGAACTTCAAAGTTCAAGTACGGTTTTCAAATTAAAAAGCTTTAAATTTGTTTTTATAAATTATATGTTTTGAACCGTGGTAGTGGTGATATACGGTACCCGTAATAATGTACGTAAGTTCCTAATGGTTTGCGCTAATCTGCCTTTTAAATAAAATTAAAGCCATATTTCATGAAATAAAAAAAAAACATTAAACTATTATCAACTTGCTTTGTGATAAAAAAATATTTTAAATTGTGTCAGTGTACAAACTTTCGACTTGTCGCTGAAGTTTGTCTTGCATTTTTTCCTCTTCATGGACCAACTTTTCAGAGATAAAGCAAGTGAAACGCAGTTCGAAAAAGGGAAAAGTCGAGCATGAAAAACTTTTCTACTTGACACTGCAGTCGGGTGCTAGATGATAGTGGTCTCAGAGCAATGAAGCTGCGCCATAATTAATATGCAAGCAAACTTGCCCAGCTAAGTGAATTAAATGAGTGATAGCTGTCTGTAAAAATTAAACGGGGTCCTTAATTGGATTGCAGTCTAATTATATGCATTTTTTGAGATTTTTATCAGCACTTCAAGTTTGTATGCCTTAGATTTTCTTGACTTTCTGCCACACTGGAGTTAATAATGGCAAAAAATTGCCTAGTTTCCTAGCAAATCTGCTTAAAACTTGACCGAAGACGACGACCTTAACCCTTGAGTCCTGCTTCAGGTCAAGTCTTCAGTTAAAGAACCCATTCCCGGTGCCTGGCCAGCAACCCTTTTTCAATTCCAGCAGCTCATCTGCGACGATTCTTATGAACAGAGGATGGGCCACCCTCCCCCTGCACTTTCACTGGCAAAACTTCGGGCCAACAACTGTTTCGGCTAACTCATCCCCTTCGCCGTCTGACCCCAAACCCTCAGCCCTTTCCCCTTCCAAGCAGACGCGACGCTGAAAAAAATCCTTTTGAGCTTCCCCTCCCCTAATCTTTTTACCTTTTTGTTTTGTTTTTGCCCGCTGCTCCTTCTGCGAGTTTCCAGCAAAACGCTTTACTCTCTGCTCGCGTGCCACGGTGTGTAAAAAATCGTACGATTTTTTCCTTGCATTTTTTGTGCGTTTTTCAAGATGTAAACAAGTTTTTCTTTGCGCGTCGCGTTAAACATTGTTTTGTTGGTCTTGTTTTTCACCCACCTCTTTTTTGCTCCGGCTTTCTTTGTTTTTCCTTTTGCTTTTCATTGAGCTCGAGCGAGTTTCCCAACAATTTTTTTAAGGAGCAGCGAAATTATTGTTTTGAATGGAGAGTGATTGTCTCCAAGGACGACGACGTGTCCAGGCAGAAAGGTTCACCTTGGTTTTCCCCACTCAGCCCGGAATCTCCATTCAATGGACTCGTTAGCGAGTCCTGGCGAAACCCATTTAAAACTTTACTACACCCGCATGATTCTTAAAGGATATTCGTAGTTAATTAATTTTTAAAGTTGAACAATGGTGTCTCCTTTTGCTATCCATCTGCCCTTTACCAACTCGCTGCGTCAACAATCATCGGATTTTTTGCTGCTGTTGTCACTTGCATTAGCGAAATTAGTTAACCGAGACAAGCAGTGCAAAGTTAGTAAAGAAGCTCTTTAATTAATTTTGCACTTAATTTTCGCCAAAGCGTAACACTAAAGTAGATTAGTTAGACGGGAATGAATTATTTATCCTTTAAATATATGCAGAGCTCGTTTGCGGTATAGATGAAACCAGTAACCACGACACGTTGCAAAACAAAGCTTTGCAATTAATACTTACGCTTCAATTAGACGAAAAAACCGTCAACGAAAAAGTGAAAATTGAAATCCGAAGCGAACCAAACCAGCCACACTCCACCTTCGACTCCACCTCGAATGGAATTGAGTCCGATTCTGTATCCGAGGCTAAATCTGACTAATGGGGCCAGTCACGGCACGTCGAATTGGAAACGAAGTTAGACCCAAAGCGGAAAAAAGGGCGGAAAGGAGAACCGCCAAAACCGCAAGCAACTTCAATTTTTTAAAGTAATTGCAACAAAGTTGGACACAATTTTTGTGTAGCAACAAAATCAACAAGAACCGGCGACAACCTATTCTAACCTCAGACCCGGCGCTGCACTTTGCCGACTAAAAAAACTAAGCAGCCCGTAAAGGTTACTGAAGGAAAGCAAAGACTTAAATTCCCTTGCTGAAAATTATTAAATTATTTACTTTTTAAAATTACTTAAGTTCAGTTAAATTCTTTAACAAGTTTTTTTCTTAACAATTCCTAACAATGTTCAGCTTCTAGAATAATCCAGTATATTTTGCTTAATTTTATTCCAGACGTTATGAAAAAAAAACGTTTCCATAAATTAAAATAAAATAAAATAAATTTAATAAGATGACCATTTCTAATAACAAACTTATTCACGTAGTTATAGAAGTTAGAAAAAGTTAGTTAGAAAATCTGTTTAAATTTTTGTTTTAGAAAATATTGATAGCTTTTTAAGCCCAAAGACAAATTTGTTTAAAATAGTTTTTTAAATAAGATCATGCAAACTTAGTAAGCTATCACTTTTTAGGTGGACAAAGGCAAGTTTCCTTGCTACATTGCAAAACTGCCTTAACCTTTCTGAAGGGCATCGCAGAAGATGAGGCAGAAGTGCGGATGGTCAAACATTTAAACACGAAAAAAACCGAAAATTTAGTTTATTTTTTCTTTTTGACTAAATGCGAAAAAAATCAATAGAAGCAGACAGTGGCAACATGACGAAAAAGATGTGAAGCCGAAGGAAATAAAATAAAAATGAAATGCACACGGAAAAAATGGGCCGGGAGCAGGAGCATGCTAAGCCAAGGTGCAGGGGGCACAAACGGAGTACGCTGGAGTGGTCCGTCTTGCGAGGATGAGTTGGAGGCTCGGACCGGACCAAAACCCCCGTCAAAGGTTGCTACATTGTGCAAAACACGCTCTGGGACTGGGTTCGGGGTCTATTCGAGTCCTGTCGGATGGTCAGGACGTGCAATTGCAAAGGGAAAAAATGTTTCAACGTTGTCCGCCTAATTTTTTGCACTTTTTAACGCTGCATAGAGGCGGCTAAGCCACCCAATCGGCCCCACCCACCGGACTCGACGTCGACGCCGCTGCCAACTGCCGGCGAAGGGGTTAAAAAAATTTGTTTTGATTTTTTTCCTCTAGAAACTCTCCTTTTTTCGGGGGGCTTCAGAGCGAGACAGCGAAGGAGAAAGAGAAAGCTGCTGCTGCGCTGTGCCATTTTTTTGCGTTTCGCAAATGTCTTCCTTTTTTATTCCTGTCCATTTTGCTGCGTGCTGCAAACCGAACTTGGCGGAAATGGAAAATGGGAGTGGGCCAAGCGACGCCTTCCTGTTCCTGCTGTACTTGTATTTGGTGCTGGGCTGTTGGTTAGAGAGGACTTCCGTCCATGTCCACAGCCATGTCCATGGCTCTGGTCATCTTCATCAGCAGCTGCGTCTGTGCGTGTGTCTGTCTCTGCGCTTTTTCCCGCTTTTATTTTCCTTTTTAGCCCACCTACCAACTAGAAAGAGAGAGACGTCCTCTTCCACTTCCACTTCCACATCCACAAAGCCAACTAAAACAACAAGGCTAGCGCTCGGCGGTTCACACCCACACAAACGCACCCACGCACACTCGCACACTCGCATATGTGGGCCTATCACACAGTGGCCAACTCCCCTTGCGCTATGCAACGCTTTTTTAGCTGTGTTTTGGCCTGCTTTGTTTTGCTCCGATTTTTTGCGTTTCTGCGTTTTTGCGTTGGGCCAACACCAAAAGCCGCCGCACTTTTGTCGCTCTCGTCGGCGCTCACGTTCACCATCGCCATCGCCATCGCCGTCGCTTTGACACCTCGATTGTGTGCAGCGCGGTTTTCTATTTCAATTGGCACTCACATTTATTTGTATTAGTATTTCGAGCCGAGGGGCACCTCTTTTTTCAGTTGACTTTTCTTGGTGGTTTTCAGTTCATGCAGCCCCTTTTTTAGTAATTTTTTTTTCTTTAGAACAACGCAAAACGTAGATCTTGTTACAATTTGATTAGGGGGAAAAATGAATATAGGATCTTATATCAATCATTTATTATGATACTTTAAATATTAATTTTTTGTAGATATGTGGAACAAAAGCATGGTTTTATATTTCAATTTACACTAATTTCATCAGTGAGAAGCTCGCGAGCCCTTGATGCACACCTTTTTTTGATGCATTTTTTCCAACCTGTTTAAGTTGATAGGAAATAGGGTGAAAATGGATTAAATGTTTAGTCCAACTAAAAAGTTTAGCAAATATGTATGATATTAAATTTGTATACATGTTTTTTAATTCCGTGGAAATCATATTTGTTCACTTTATTACGAATATTTGTAATTCGATTCAATATGTTTTGCTGTCATAATAGCATAAACATAAGAATATATTGTGTAAAAACGTCAGGACGGCAAGATAATAATTTCATATTTAAATAGGTAATAAGTAATTAAAAAAAGTTAACTTGTAAAAAGTTAACTTAAATTCAAGGTATCCTAAAATAAATGTATGTAAATGTAGCAAAAAATTAGAGAGAAAATACTAAAGACAGTAAAAAGTATTAATATTGGTAGGTGCCTTATTGTAATTTTTCCAATACGTTTTTCAAAATGGCAATAATTATAAGTATATTTAAAATAATATCAGAAATTAAACTTCACGTAGAGGGTATTTTTATTTTTTTAGGTAGTGAATGATACATTTCTGACAATAGCCAGCGTCAAAAATAACAATATAAAATGCTCTATTTTGTAAAGCTTTTGTAATTATTAAAAAATGTATTAAAACCTGGAAAATATTAGCTGTCCGAATTGGCTTCGCGTCCGATTATTATTCAAAATACAGATTTAAAAACTTATACTGGATGAAAAACAAAAAATTCTTATTTCATTTCTTAGAATCAAACCTTAGAAAAAATGTATACTGGGCCGACTTTGAGTGATATTTTAGTGTTCTGAAGTGCAAATATAATATAGGCGAAACGGATAAACGAAGCATAAAAACTGCGTATGGAATGTAGTATAAAATATATATTTTCATCATCCTAGGCGGTCTAGCCATGTCCGTTTGTTACTACGCAAACGAATTTCTTAGTTTTATCGCTGTCTGGATGAAACTTTTTATTAGGTCTTTATTATAATGCAGGTTGAATATATAGGCTAACCACGCAACAATAAAATAATTAATAGGTAAAGTCATTTCTAAGAAATTAAAATAACAATCTAATAATCCTATAAAAATAGGAAAACTAACAGCGAAATCTTCAGAAATCTAAAGAGATATCTTAATAGATTGAAACTGTTTAGACAATGTGTGTATCAATCAACTCCAAAAATAAAAGGTCGTTGGCTATTTTTATCCAGAAAAAATTAAAATTTGAACACTGCAATTGAAATGATTACTCCAATTGTTTTAAACATTCGATAGGCATATTACTCGAGATATGCAATCATTCTTGAACAACTCAACAGCTTCAATAAAAGAGGACATAAAGAACATTCGTTGAACAAAGCGCTAATTCATAAATCATTTTATAAAAAATATAATCTAGGCTATTAAAAACTTTTGTTCCTAAGGAAATCGCCTTCCTGTATATAAAAATTCGATCTACCTTTTCTATTTCATGTGCCATTTGCCGGCTAATTGACCAACAAAACGACGGGCATAAACACACACAATCCCCAAACCAAAACCAACAACCACAGCATGCCAAAGACATAAGCGATTACAATCTTTGGCCGCCAACGCCGCGCAGTCATCAGCATGCCAGTGAGCATCATCCGATGTCCCTGAAGCAGGAGTACGAGGTAAGTGCCCCGCTAAACGCTGGCCATAGCATGTTTATCTATAGATCCGTATCCAAACGTTGGTAAAACAAACCGGCATTACTTTATGGCTCGCCAAATGGGAGGAGGCGAAACAAAAACAAATTCTAAGCTCGCGTGCCGCCATAGCTTTGGATTTGCTTTGCCCCGCTTTCTGCACCACCCATATATCAACCCACCTATCCACCCACCTATCCGCCCATCTAACCACCCATCCAACCACCCATCACGCTTATTTACTTTCATGGCCCACTGTGTCTGGCCAAAGCCAGACCAGATTTTGCTTTTGTTTCGCCGCTGCAATATTTGTATTTATATTTTCTTGTTGCATTTCGGGGGTTTCCCGCCCGACCTAAGCATATGAAAATTGTTTAGAAAAAAGCCGGCTGGCATTTATTTTTTGACGGCGCACGAGGTTTATTTTATTCGATTTCCATTTTGTTGGCATCGCATCGATGACGGCGGTGTCGTCCTAGGTCATGTCTGGCTGGAGGATTTTAACCCACATTCGGAATTTACATGCAATCGAAAGCGGTGGCATTTTTTAGACACTTCTTTTTCCTTATTTCACACATTTTTTCTATCACTCTCGCTGGCCGGCGGTTAGAATTTTTATTTATATTTGTCGTCAGGCGACTTGATGTGTCTGTACTGTTGGTTTTGTCACGCGTTGCATTTGTTTTCCAATTCATTTATCGCTTGTTTAGCTTTGACTCGCCCTGACAGCTGGCGAAAACATTTGTTATTTGTGATTTCCACTGTGTAAATTGCATTCGTTTTTTCTCTGGACATTTTAATGCGATTTGCTGGGCTGAGAGTCATTAGAAAATTTGTTTAAATATTTTGACAGCGCGTGCAAATTGTTTTATGGCCATTTGATGCGGGGTCACAGTTGCACATTTGAGAATGAATATTTGATAATAATGTTGAGTTGATGAGGTTAATTAAATGTGTGTAGAATAATTATGAATTGATATTGGACAACAAGCAATTATCAGGGATTGGCCAGATTAGAAGCGGCAATTACAAATCGAATTAACTGAATTGCTTTTAGCTTTTCCACCACGCTAGCTTCTGCGACTGATTAGTGATGGAATAACTTAATGCCAGCCCGTGTTTTCCTTTTACTTTCAGGCCAAAATGAACGATCACCACCACAACAATCTGCAGAAAGGTGAGTCAGCCCACTTCTCGGACCTTTCCCAACCAGCCACCAGATCACTTGACCTACCCAGAACCTGACTGACAACAATGCTCTTGTTAATTAATTGCTCACAAAAACAACCCGACCGATAATCACGAATTTCCAAGATTCAGATCGCGGCGCGCGAACCGCAGATCTCCCAGATACCGATCTAAACTCACTCGGAGAAGAATGCAAAAGCTAAATTGGAAAACGCGTGCGGGCCGCCGAACAAAAGCCGGAAAGACAATGTGGTTCGGTCTCATACTCCCACGGAGTATCACACAGAAAACAATTTTGTTATTGGCGGGAGAAGAGCGGAAATTATCGCTTTTCACATAAATTAATCGTAGCACCAAAACCTAAAGGGCGGCGAAAAAAGGGAGGAATTTTAATAATAGTTTGGAATCTGATGTATTTTCCTTAACGATTTTTAATTTCTAAATAATGTTACAACAATTTTATATTTGTCGTAGTTACATTCATATCTAAAAGACCATTTTGTATACAAGGTATATAATTCTTCTATGACTTAACATTTTTTTCTATACTTAAAAAACTGTGCGTTTCTAGTCGTAGATATCTCAATACTCAAATTACGACCGAGTAGTTATTTTTTTCCTACATCGAGAATTCAGAAGTTTTTTTTTTTTTTTTTTACGATTTTTAAACTAATAAGAATACAAATTTGTAGACCTTAAAGTTTTTTGAGTGTTCAACAAATAGCCATTATTTATATATACATTTTCTTATTTATCCAATACAAAAACAACAACTTTAATTCACTGAACATACACCTCTAGCTTGAAGAGTTTTCAAAAAACGAAGTTTTGGTCTTTTTGAACTATAAGTAAATTATTTATTTCTCAGTGTAGCAAAATAAGTCGAAAAATTGACCTTTAACAGCCGCAACAGCAACAACAGTCGCAGGATGCCTACAAGATGTTTACATAAATTCCTAAAATGCAAACAACATTTTAGTTGGGCCCCGTTGGTAGCAGCATTGTTGCTGCTGCAACTACCAGCTACCAACTAGCAACATTGACAGCAACACGCTCCTGTTCGGAGTTGCAGTTGGAGTAGCAACTTCCAGTCGACTGGCTTTACCTGGACCCCCAGAGCTTGTTGGCGTTGACGTTGGCGGCAATGATCGCCAGCCGATAATGTCAACGCTAGGCAATTGGCCAATAAGGTTGTTGTTGCTGCTGCTGCTGCCTCCGTTGCGATAGCGATCGTCCACATTGTTAGCTCCGATGTAGATGTACTCGGATTGGATACCCTCCTTGTACAAATTAACAATAAGGCAACTTTTACTGGTGTCCCCGGCTCATATTGCCGGTCCTCCATTTGAAATGCCGCTGGAAAGCCACTCGCAGTTGCCACTGTTCATTAGCTGAACTTTCCGGCTGGCGCCACCGGCCAGCTCTCTGGTAATTAACACAGAAATAGCGAGGGACGGGGCCAGCAAGTATCTGCAAATGCTTTATTAGAGAAATGTTTTTGACATAGCTGCGGGGCGCCCAGAAACCGCACAGTTCGGTTTGGTTTGGTTCGGTTCGTTCGGCTAAGCCGACTTACGGAGGAATTTCCCCAGCGCTTAGAGTGCTTATTGTTCATAACTTGATGATTACCCCGAAATCCTGGCCAACCCTTTGCGACCGGCCGGCCGCGCAGACAAACTCATTAACGGATTCACACAATTTTTGCACGCAAATAGGCCAGGGAAAAAATTCTAAAGCCCGGGCAAATGCGAAACTATTTTCTCATAACTCCTCGGGCGATTTCCCAGTGGCAATCAGCGGGGCCAACTAATGTCTCAGTTTAATTAGAAAAAAGAGCAGGCAGCCAGGAGCTGGTCAGGTGGCGACATGGCCAACGTGAGTGAACGTCGGCGGCGGCAACTTCAACTGAACCAGAACCTGATGGACAACCGTGGGGCAGCACTAATACCATTGCTGCGCCAAACCATGGCGCCACAGCGCTGACACACAACAACTAAGTGCAACAACTCAATTGCCTTTGCTTTGCAGGTCACTTTCTGGATGACAATCGTCTGGAGCACCATGCGGTTACGGGACAAGGTGAGTTGATGGCTGAGATGACTCACGGACTCGGTGAACAACATTGGCGAAACTAAACGTTTAGCCTTCTAAAGACATCATATTAAACTCGCTGAAAAATTATAGCTTCGGGGGAAAAAACTAATTTTTCATATTTATTAACAATTAAAAAAAATAAATATATTATAAATGCAAATTATGAGTATTAAAAGCCACAAGAAATATAAAATTAACTATTTTAATTATTAATGTCTTTATCAACAAAAACATCTATTAACGAGTTAAAAAAAAGTCGTGACGATCAAATTTGCAAAGTACAACATTGTTGATATCAAATGATGTGAGGAAAAAAAACTATAGAATGCTTAATACTTTTAGCGAAATTCGAAATAAATAAATATGATTTATTAATTATTCTTATTTGGCTCGCTTTTTGTATAGACAGGATTTTCTTTTGGACGCGGTCCCAATACACAATTCAGTTTATAACTAATTTTCCCAAAGTTTTTCAAGAAGGCGTCGAAGCTTTTCTCTCGAGCCGCCCAACACAACAATAATTATTTCAGGATCCTTGAGCCCTTAATGCAACAACAGCTACAACAGCCTAAAAAACTGGAGCATTTCGCCAAGTCGGCCCCAACATCTCCCATTTGATAAATTTACGCATTTTTACTATCATTGCCCATTTCCTGAACCAATTAATTTTCGTAAAGTCCACTCAATTGGTGAAATACTTTTTATGATCGGACCATCAGCTCAAATTTTAATTTCTTTGGCTATTTATACTAGTAATAACACAATATGTCGCAAATATTCATTACTATTTAACGCTTGTATGATATGATGTTAAACTGGAGCCTATTTGGCTTTGTCCTTTTAAGTACTGCTTGCCCCTCATGCATTTCTCTGTCTTGCAGGTGGCCTCGGCCTGGGTGCATCCAACAGCATCGGTGGCGGAGGAGGCGGAGGCGGCTCTGTGGGTGGCAATTCCAGCCTTGGCGCTGGCTCGCACCACGCCGCCGCCGCCGCCCACCATCACAACCAGGCGGTGGCAGCTGCCTCGGCGGCCGCCCTGCTGGTGGTGCCCCAACCGATCAACGCCAGCAAAATGGGCGGACCCGGCGGTGTGGCCTCGGTGGCCGGCGGACACGCCGCGGGTGGCGGCAGCGGACGCAAGTATCAGTGCAAAATGTGCCCCCAGGTAAGTGCGTCCGCGACTGTTTCGATTTTCATACCTATCTGGCTGCTGCTGGCGCTGGAACTCAAGGCAAAGGGTGGACACTATTAAATATTGCCGATGCCCATGGCTGCATGGACCTGTTGACCGAAATATTGGGTGACCACCCCGAAGGGGGGGCGAGTCCAATCTGATTCGAAGCCCGTGAGGGCCCGGCAAGGCATCGGCTTTTGTTTACAATTTTTCAGTTGATTAAGCTCGGCAAAAGTCTCGGATTTCAATATCACTGAGAAAAAATTAATATATTTTCATCTCAAGATATTTAGATATTTAACTAAAGAAGGTTTGACAATTGTTCATCAAAAACAAACAAAACAAAACAGTTAATAACGACTGAAAGGATGAACATGAGTATTTTGAGTTATTTACATACATACAAGCAATTATAAGGCTTTGAATACTATAAAGGAAAGTCTTAAATACACTTTGTTGATATTTGAATATATTTGAAAATTAAATTTAACGGAAAAATAGAAAAGAGAATTCAAAAGGACAAAATTACTAGACATATTTTAAGTGATTGTTAGTAGTCTCGACCTATGTATTTTATTCGATAGCCAACTAAATTTTCAAATTGGGAAATATTCAAGAGTGGACTCCGGATTATATATAACATAGTCATATTTTGTACGTCTGTTTCCAAGCAATCTTAAATTACTTAACATATTATAGCCTTGGAATAGTATTAAAAGTATATAAAGTATATATATACTGGATCGGCATCACCAGGAAAGTCGATCTAGCCATGTCCATCTGTCCGTCCGTCCGTATATACGTAAACAAGTTTTTCAGTCTTAAAGCTACCTGGATTAAACATTCCCTAAGAGCTTTTCTATAGCCGGAAAGGAGCCGGTCTATAGGAACAAGCGGAAAGTTTATGAAAACAATTTAACTTCGTTGTTTTTGAGCATATACGATAAATACTGATTTTCTTAGAATTTTAAACTTACTGTTTTAGTTCACAAAAATCGCACCATTATTTTATATATCTGGGACGATTCAAAAATGTATATAAACGCATAAAAATAAAAACATAGTTAATTTTAAAAATATTTAATTTTTATAAGCACTACGGCTGGACCAAGTGCTTCCTTTCTTATTTTTCATAAAATCCTTCCTAGATTTAAGCTTAAAGATTCAGAAGGTGCCTTTAAGGTCAATGCCCAGAATATGATTTTACATATATTCTATTCATGAGTAAATTAAAATATACCATTGTAAAATTTGTTCAACTACTTTGAGGTCTGTTATGTTTTAATGCAATTTTTCAAAACCAATTTACAAAAAAAATATACTGTATCCTTTTCGATTTTCCCCGTTTTCGTTGACAATTAATGAGAAAGTTTTTTAAGTGTGGTTAGCCCCTGCTCATATCAAGTTGCCTTGTTTCTCACATTCATTCGCGGCTCCCCACGCACTTGCCATGACACTCAAGTCCTGGCTAGAAGCCAGGCCCAAAAGCCGTCAGCCAACAGCTGCAGTTGCTCGTAAAATGTCAATTATGCAGCGTACACGTCTGCGTTGATTGCTGCTAATTGAGCTTATTGTTTTTTAACGGTTATTTGTGGCCTGAAGCGGGGCAGCTGCCACCTGTCAAAGGAGATTCCTTATGGGTCACGGATATGCGTGAGATCCGAATTTTGTGGGCCAAAAACATAAAGAGCACTCCTCAGCAAGGAAATGTTATACCAAGGTCTTGAATTCACTTTAAATTTCTCAATGTTAGTCCAAAAGTAAGTTAACTTAATGTTTGACCCAAGGAAAAAACATGACAACGAAATAAAGTTATTTTTTTGTAATTGTCGATAAACTAACGACTCTTTGTGTCACAAAGAGATAAATTGGGTTCTCTTTTACATTAGATAAGCCGTTCAAACAATGAGCCTTATTCCGGAACTCTAAAAGCCTTAAACCATCTAGGATAACCCAAAATAACTGTTTTTTCAATTAGGCAACGGGAGAACAACTTTCTCGTGAAGCAACATCTATGTTAAGAAAACTATTTTAGTTATTTTTTTCGGAAAGAACAGCAGTATTGACAGCGAACATTTTTGGACGAATGATGTGTCCGGCTGATATGCCACACCCACAATGCCCACAAATTGCGGTGCGGGGCTAACAACATTTGCAGCGCTGATGAGCGGTGCAAGCAGGCACATACCCACAGAAAAAGGGGGTGATCAGGGGTGGTAAAGGGTGGTGGTGAGGCCAACATGGGCGGAGGTGTTCATTTGGGCGGGACAAAGTGAAATAGCAGCATGCCTAAAAGTATGCTACACTCTCCATTTTTTCTTGCCTCCTTGCGTGCGTGTGTGTGCACTTTTTCTTGTGTGAGTGTCTCAATTTTTTATTTCATTTTGGCACATGCATGTACATACTGCATGTTTGCGAGTGTGAGAGTGGAAGCTGCACTACTGAAAATTAGTGCGTTTCTACGCTCAAAAGCGGCTGCTGCTACTTTTTTAATTACCCACACTTACCATTTTTTTTTGGCGATCCTGCTCCTGCAGCTGGACTTCGGCAGTCGGTTTGTTGTTGCGCAGCCCAGCTTCAATTGGAATTACTACACTTGGCACTTTTATATGTACGTAGGAAAAAAGTCCTGCAGCAGCTCCCGTTTTCCTTTTTTTACCTTTTGAACTGGAACTGGCCACATTTTTCGTGTGTGAGAGTGTGTGGAAGTTTCGGCCAGCCTATCATGTTAGTGTGCTCTGCTCTGCCACTTTCTTGGCGTCCTTTTTTGGAGGTGTGGGGTGGAGGGTGGCCCGACACTGCTATTTCCAACCGGTTTTTTCAGCAGACCAAAAATTATGTTCACCATTTTGGGGCGCATGTCAGGAGCTTTATTCGGTTTTTTCCATGAAGGAGAAATGAAAAATACACATTATTTTTAAATTATTTTTAAAATAAGTAAATAAGAACCATGATTGAGTACAGAACTTCTGATGAAATTGATTAAAATCATATAAGTGCTTTAGCCAATTCACAGGAAACATTTAAAGCCTTTAACTAAAAAATAATATTTTAATCACTACAAACTAAAGTACAATATGCAAAAAATGCATTCTTTATTTAATAATTTCCCACCATGTTTTATACTCCATACACATTTTAAGCTTTAAAAACACTCCACAAATAACATTCCAATCTCAACGCAAATATTTGCTTTTCCAAGGAAAGTCCTTATTGTAATTGAAATCCTTTAAAAACAAAATTAATCACGGACATGTATTTTTTGAACTTTTTTCTTTTCAACAAAATATTTGTCTTATCCACAAAAACACTGAGAAAAATGCAGAAAAAAGGAAATTTTTTATGGACCACATGCCGCGCCCACTTGTTTGGGGCGGCCGACACAAAGCTTACATAAAATTATAGAACCCGCCTAGCAAAGGGGCAAAAAAAAAGCAGAAATAACTGAAATAAACATAAAAGTGAGCTGCGATTTTTACCCTATGTTATTATTAGCACCACGCTGTGCCAGTATTGGTGACCGGTTTTTCTTTTTTTTAACCTCTCCACGCATAATTCGCTTCCACTATTTTTAACTGCCTTTTTTTGGTTTTATTTGACATTTGCATTTACTTTTTTCCATTCTTCTTTGCTGCGCTTTCAACTTTGTGTGTGCTCATGTGTGGGCAAGCACTAACACAATTACACAAGTGGTCAGCGGGAGGCGGTGGGCTGCAGGGCGGGGCAGGGTAGCGGGCGGCCTGGGACACGCTCACACTATCAATTAGTGAATTACATGCGAACAACGAGCGGAAAATGCCCGAGCGGGTAAAAAACTGCCGACAAAAATAGAAAAATTGCAAAAATTTGTTGCGCACATCAAAACAAACACATACACAGCGCACACTTACAAGCTCAACATCACTGGACTGTGTCTGTTATTCCCCTCATTTAATTAACAATAAAAATAGGCTAAAAAGTCTTAAAAAAGCAAAAACTGCATGCGAATTATGCAGGCGCACACACACACAGCACACACACTCACATACATTGCAGTCATGCCATTTGTTAAACAATTTTAACTCGCGCCCCCAAGTAGGCAATGCTTTCCGCACACGCACACATGCAGCGGCGGCATTAAAATTTGATCCGATATAATACATGAATTATGTAAACTATTTTTATTTTTGTTTTGCCTATTTATTTTTGCATTTTTTCGCCTCCGCGTGCGCTGCACTTTTCTGTCACGGTATTGGTGCGAACTGCCCCTCAGAGTGTGCGAGTGTGCGAGTGTGCGTTCTGTGGCCTTTGGCATTAGCATTTGGTTAACGTTAACGGGCGACCACTGCAACAATTGCCAGCCCATTTGCCGTTTTTAGCGGTTAGCAACAGAAGCGCATCGCAAATGCGTCGCTGCTCTGCTCGCACACAACTGCCGTCTCGCTTTGTGTTTATTTTTGATTGTATTATACATTATTCCGGGCATGTATTGGCTTGGGATCCGATCGGCCGATGTGGTGGGGGTCTATTTATGCACTCGTCCAGTGCATTCGAGTACTTTGTTTTGCTTTGCTTGTTTTTTGCATTTAATGGCCGCACTTTTTGCACAGCACTCGCCAAATTGTTTTTAAAATGCTAACTTTTTTCTTGGCGCTTTAACTTATTTATATGAGTACGCGGCCAAATATTTTACTTTGTGCTTTGGTTTACGCTTCAAAGAAACATAAATATGGGGAATGGAAATTATTAATTTTTTACATGTTTTTTCACGGTTGGGAATTAATCAACTTTCGGCGAAAAAAATTGAAAATTCAATTAAAAATGCTTATTAATGTTTCAATATTCGAAATATATAGTTATATGATTACGTCGCTTTAAGCCATTCTATATTATTTATGGGGTGCGAATAAGATTTTTGGTTTTTTTTCATTAGAGAACTTGAATATTGAAACCGGCAAATTTTGTCGTAGTTAAGGCTATAATAATTTCAGCAATTTAAAAAATATGATATCGCATAACATATGAAAAAGATAAAAACTAAAAACTAAGTGATTTCCACATTTGCAAAATAAAGATTTTAAATCATTCTTTTGCTTTAAGTAAAACATAGAGCCAGATCATTTATTGAAAGAAGATGTGTTTATTTTCAATTAAAAACGAGGACGGAAGCTAACTTCGGCAAGCCGAAGTTTTAATACCCTTGCAGACTTTGCCGAAATTGCTAAAACTGAAAAAGTAGCGAAAGGAATAAGGTATACATAAATAAACTAGATTTGCATCGTTTAATGTCAATTGCTTTTATACTGCAAAAATGTCATATAAAAATAGAAAAAAAGAAATACTTTCGCAGCCTTTAACTATTTTTCCTACGGAAGCTATAAGAAATAGACGTCCGATCGGCAAGCGCTTTTACCCTAATCAAGATATGCGTAAATAAATAAGACTTGGAACAATTTATGTCAGTAGCTTACACACTACGCGAAAAATTCAGAAAATCATCAAATTTGGACCGATTTCACCCTGTTGTTCCTATGGGAGCTGTAGGATATAGACAATCAAGGTATGCATAAAAAAATACGATTTGGAAAGATTCATGTCAATTGCTTATATACTGTGCGAAATATCTTAAAAATCATTAAATTTTAACCGATTTCACCGTATTGTTCCAATGGGAGCTATAGGATATAGACGTCCGATCGCCAAGCGCTTTTACCCTGATCAAGGTATGCATAAAAAAATAAGATTTGGAAAGATTTATGTTAATAGCTTTTACACTGCGCGAAATATCTTCCATTCTTGAAAGTTATATCCGATTGTTCCTATGGGAGCTATAGGATATAGACGTCCGATCAGCACGCGCTTTTACCTTGATGAAGGAATGCATAAAAAAATACGATTTGAAAAAATTTATAGCAATAGCTTTTACACAGCGCGAAATATTCTGAAAAACATAAAATTTGGACCGATTTTACCCTGTTGTTCCTATGGGAGCTATAGGATATAGACGTCCGATCGCCATGCGCTTTTACCCTGATCAAGGTATGCATAAAAAAATACGATTTGGAAAGATTCATGTCAATAGCTTTTACACTGCGCGAAATATCATCAATTCTTGCTAGATATATCCGATTGTTGGGAGCTATAGGATATAGACGTCCGATCGGGGCGATTTTCAAACTTGATCTGCGTACACATGTTTTAGGACGAGTGTGAAAGTTTCAGATCGCTAGCTTTTAAACTGAGCTCGCAAACGGTATTGAAACAGACGGACAGACGGACATGGCTATATCGACTCCCCTATTGATCCTGATCAAGAATATATATACTTTATAGGGTCGGAAACGTCTCCTTCACTGCATTACAAACTTCTGACCAAAATTATAATACCCTCTGTAAGGGTATAACAAGAGAGAACGCTATAGTCGAGTGCCTCGACAATTAGATACCCGTTACTCAGCTATCCAGAAATCCTTATCGAGAATTAACGTTGACTTTGTTAAGCACCTTGGCCAGCTGTGCCAAAGTCATCCGTTAGATGGCGTCATGAAAGGCGGAAATGTAGGCGCTAGCCAGGCTTAAGCGTTTAATGGGTTTTTGGGCGTTAGAGTGGGCGTGGCAAACTTTTATTAGGCCAATCTATATTTATTGACGATACAAATACATATCAATTAAAATTTTCATAATATCATCAAAACTGTGGCCACAGCTTGTGGCTTGTGGGCGTCAGAGGGGGCGTGTCACCATTTTGAAACAAACTTGCGCTGCGTAGGAACTCCTAAAATCTACATGCAAAATGCCAATCTTCTAGCTTTTATAGTTTCCGAGATCTCAGCGTTTATACGGACGGACAGACAGACGGACAGACGGACATGGCTAGATCGACTCGGCTAGTGATCCTGAACAAGAATATATATACCTTATAGGGTCGGAAACGCTTCCTTCTACCTGTTACATACTTTTGCACGAATACAATATACCCTTTTACTCTACGAGTAACGGGTATAATAATTTAAATGCTACTTTTATATAGCTAAAAATAGAAAACAAGTCTTAAGTTTAATGAACAAACCGAGTAATACGTCTCCATTAAAGATTTTCTATGTCACTTTAATATGTCAAGCGTCTTTAAGAAAATCTTTTTCTGGAAAAAAATATCAACAAGTTTATTATAATTTAGTTATAAGTTTGCAACGCAATAAAGGGTACAATTTCAACCCCATAAACAGTTAACATTGATGTAGCCATGTCCGCCGTGCCTCGGTCCATTCTATATATCAATTTTAAAAAAGTAGTAGTTTTTAAACATATATAAACAATCTATGTAAAACAAAATCAGAATAACGTTTTAATTTTTTAAAAATTGCACGAGCTGATACAGAAACAATCGAAAATATGTATCGGAAAATCGGAAAATCTTTGTTTTTTTTCATATACGCATATAAATCGAAATTTAGTTGAATAATACAATATAGAATTTTTTATTTGCCCAAGCTTGCTATCTTTTTTATTGATTGGATGTTAGTTTAGACCAATCCCTCAATTGTTTGTTCAAAGTAAAAGTACTTTACAGCACTAAAAAATAATAAAATGAATACCGTTTTATAGGTCTACGGTAACTTTATAACTATCAAGACGATAAAAATAATTACAAAATAAAAAGGAAACTGTTTAAAAAAAACATGCAAAAGTGATGTGAATCATTCTTTGAACCATAAAACCTGCCACAGGTATCCCTTGCTCACAATTCAACAATCAGTCATTTGCCTTACACTATAGGTTCGTGCTGCTGAGGTTTACCTAAAACAAAAGGCATTTAGTAAGGGAATCATGGGAAAAATGTTGTTCTCACTTTAACGGAATTTTATCCCATTCGGATTGATTTTAAATCTATTTTAATATAAATCTTATTGAAATATTAGTAGTTTTCAATCATTAAACTCCTCTCAAAATAAATTCTGTTAAAGCGAAAACGTGGAAGTCCTTGGTCTCACCATAGATCTAAAGTAGGTCTTAACGGAGGTCCATCCCAGATTGGATGAGTGATCCCAGTGTCGCTGATTGTACCGCTCTTCGAAGTCATAGGTACTGCCCAAAGGAGTGGGGAGCGGATGGATCTCCAGAAACTGAGCCCAAAAATCGGGTGGCAACAGGAGCAACACCTTCAGCACCTGCTGCCAAATAACCACATTTTCGAGGGTCAAATCAAGGTCTCCGAAGAGAGTTGGAGCGAAGATCACGGCCAGGTTGCCAATCGTCATGCGGACGGCAGGACTCTCAGCCACCCTCTGCCAGTGGAGCATCAGGTAGGCCAGCGTGTCCCGGTGGGCCTGCTGCAGCTCCAGGACCGCCAGGTAGACCGCCATCCTGACCGCCAAGGGATCGGCCAGCCGCGTGGCCTCCTGGAAATCTCTTCGGTGGTAAATGGGAATCAGGGGATGGACCAACAGCCGAAGGAATTCCTTCACACAACAGCACAGTGTGTGGGTGTCCTTGTTGCCCAAGTGCGGCGTGGACTTGCCACGCAGCAGCTTCCGGCGCAGCCGCTTGCATTTCTCCCGCGTCGAGGACACCCGATAGAGCCCCTCCTGCTGTAGTCCCCGTGCCTCGATCTCCGTGACACAATGGACAATTAAGGCCGGCACCATGGGCGCCACCCGGGGCGCGTAATCGCTGAGATTGCCGCGCTTCGTTGTTATTTGGGGCTGAGGGATGCAGTTCACCGTCAGCTGGCGACAACAGGCGATGTGGCAGCGAAGCGGACACGCCCGACACCGCAAGCTGGCCATGGCAAAGGGGATTCTGGAAGAAGCATAGGACTTAAAATTCGGCACGCTTTACTTTAATTTCCAAGTTTTTATAATTTTGCACAGCTTTCAAAGATTATCAAATATTAAATTACATTTCTTAAGCTTTAAAATTTAAATCACAGTAGTCTTTTTAGAATAAAAGTCTTAAATAACTAAAGGGCCCTGCTATAAGCTGTAAAAATAGATACGTTTTCCGAATTCTTTTGGGAATGCTTACCTTTTTCTACAGTGCACACAGTTACCCACGTTGTAGTAGTACGACTTAACCTTGAAGTTGTGCTCCCTCAGGAGCCCCGAATGGGACTGGGAGCAGCTCGAGTAGTAATCGAGGCCGTCAGTAGATACTCCATCGCTGCCGCTGGGATTCATATCCACGCGGTCCTGCAAGGAGTCCAGCGACTGGGAGCCAAACATGCGGAAGTGCTCGCTGAGATCATCGTAGGAAATGTACTCCCGTAGAAGCCTCCGTTTGTTCTGCATTGCGGGGCTATCGGCCAGCGAATAATTCGAATCGAAGGCGTCGGACTCAGACCCACTAATCGCACTTCAGGCCACAAACTGGCGATTGATTCAGCTGTTCTGGTCAGTTGGCAGTTTCCGAAGAGCCGACACTTCGGATTGAGTCAGCTGCACAGAAGCTATCGGCACGTTTCTCCGAATATTTGCCCGAAATGTTTATTTACACTTCCGGTTTGCTTGGAATCGGGTGAGCACTGACGATTTGAAAATGCTTTGGCAGCACTAAATTGCGAAAAACCGTAGGCAATGCCTTCTAAGATTTCAACATAATTTCTCACATAATTAACAAAGGGAAAGTCCGCCATTCAGTCACATAATCATTAATTGTAATGATAACCACATTCATTTGGTATACTTATGCGCGTTTTCTGGTGACTATGGTAGGGTAAACTGAGGTGTAAGATAAGCACTTCGGTTTTCTGAAAACTAAAATTAAATTGAATACTAAAGGGCAGTTCATTTTTTATCTAAAAATCTTTGGTAAATGAGTCTTACTATAAACAACAATATCTCCTGACAAGGCATGCACTTTGCAATAAAGTAAACAAACATATCAAAATCAAAGTCCACTTTAAGCCCTCGCTAAAGAATTTGAAGTCACGCCGAGATTCAATGTCACTATACAAACCTAAAATCCCGCAAAAACAAAAGATCGCACAAAATCAAACAAAAAAAACAATTTGCTAAAGTATCAATGAATTCTAAGCGCCCTGAAAATGGCTCGATGGCAACGCTAAATGGATGAAAAATTCATCGAAAACCGTTTTGCGGCCACCAGACACAGAATGCAAGCAGCAAGAATGTGGCACGAAAAAATGCTGCAGTTCATGTGGGGCGAGCACGTCAAAAAGTAAAAATGTGGAATCCACGAGAGCTAAAGAAACACCAAAAATTAGAATTTAGAGAGTTCCGTTGATGGTTTTTTTTGCGAGGTGATGCTGGGATAATAGGTAATCATTTAGCCATTCTTTGATTTGACTTTACTGGATTTTTAGTAGAGATACTCTGAAAATTAAAATAGTCGTGGCGCTTTTCCATTTCGGCTGTGTGTTGAAGAGCAGCGGCAGCAAAATTAACGAACAGGGCGGGGAATTTGATTTTTATGCTTTTTGTAGTCGTTTTTTAGGCGTCAGCTGCAGTGACGCCGGTGTGTGCCTGTGTGTGTGTGCGTTTCAGGGTGTGGGTGAGGTACTAAGGATGGTTGCCACATTGAATTCGTAGTTATTAATGCGTATTGAAATGCACACATTGATGAGGGTGCGAGTGTCTCTCTCTGCGATTATGTGTGTGTAGTATTCATAATTGCACTTGTGTGGGTTTCTATCTGTGTCCGACTGTTTGTTTGTATTCAAAGTCCACAAATACGAGTCACGCATCGCAATAAGCCCATGCAATCCCCAGCATCACCTCCTTTTCCCAAAATGCTTTTTTGTACTTTTTCTGTTAGGCCAATGTGTGTGTTAAAATACGTGTGTGGCCCTGTGTGTGTGACTGTCCGTTGCGTTGCGTGTTCAAAAAACAAAAACCCAACAAAACAGCATAAAAAATGTTTGGACATCCAACAAAACATGCAAAAAAAGAGGGGAGCTGAACTGCGAGTACAGGACAAAAACGAGTGGGAAAAAATGGCATCAAAGCACGTTGACAGTGTTGCCACGTGGTGATAATTAATTTTTCACACACAAAAGTTGATCAAAATGTTTTTACCAGCTGCATCGAAAGTTTACTGCAACACTTTATGGCAGACAATCGAAAAGTTTTAAACACTTTCAAGCAACGTCAAGTTTGAAGGTGGGAATACAATTTTTTAAGAAATACTAGTAAGATGGCGTTCATCTTTTTTAATATTTTTCATTCACTTCCTCAAAAATTTTACAGTTCTTTAAATATTAAAAACACAGCCCGTAGAAAACTAACATAACCTAATTAGCATAATTGTTTACGTAGTAACTTACTGTTGATTAAATTCACCACATGAATTTATTTATATATTTTGTATAGCCTGCAATATATCTAATTTTTATGAGCTCTGCCTAAAATACTCAACAAAACTGCATATCCAAATGAATTTAAGCTGTGTAAGATGCCCTTAATGGAGCTTTTTAGATCATTTATTTGTGTAATCTTAATTTTAGATTTTGTTAAGTTAATATTTAACGAAATATATTTTTATGACCTGATCACAAAATAACCTTAATGTTACAAAATTATTCTTGTTAATTTTAAAAATATGATCTCAAAAAAATGATCTCATTTTTCCCGTTGACTTTATTTCAACTAAAATAAAAGAACTCAAAACAACCTGTTAAAGAATTTAGCTTCAATCGTCGCTTTGTCTAACCCAATTTTAGTTGGGCACTAAAAACAACAATTTATAATAAATTGTATTTTTCAATGGCAACTCTGCTATTTTTTAAGGCTCTCCCCCTCCCTGTCTCTCTTTCGTGCCAGGATACAAAAAATCTAAAAAACCAAATCTAAAAGCGAAAACACAAAAGCAAATGCAACAGCAAAGGCAACATCACTAAAGCGATGGGGAAATGGCTGCAAAAAAATGATTGTGTTTTGCGAACGGGGGGTCAAAATGCACAAGGTGCAAGCGAGATGGGGCGATAGAAAGGAAAAAATTTATTTCCTGTGGCAAGAAAAAAAATCGGAAAAAGGAGGGGCGGCCGAGAGAAAAAATGCACAGCGAATGGAAATGGAAAAAATGCTGGGAAAAAATGTGCAAACTGCGAGCGAGCGAAAGGGAAAGATGGTGGGCTGTGATGGGTGGGGTGTTGGGCGAAGAAGCTGAGGCAAGGTTGCAATGCGAAAAAAAGAACTTAGAAATATCAGCAACGACGGCAGCAGACAAACGTCGACCGCGGCAGAGGTGGTGGATGGTGGGTGGTGTGTGGTCAGGGGTGGAGGTGGGTGGTCTCTGCTCCAGTGGGTGGTTCAATGTGAGTTAGTTGCTGTTGGCAGTTAAGCCAGCGCGGTGGCTTAGGTCAGGGCGGAGGCTGCTGCCTTTCCTGCTGCTTTTCCTGCTGCCCGAGGTGTGCTGCTTTTCCGCCCACTCCCCGGTTGGGCCACCCCCATCTGGCACATTTTTTGGGGATTTTTTAGCGCCCCCCTGTCAGGCTGATTGAGTGCTAGAAAGCGCAACCACAGAAATGAGGCAGCCACAGAAACAGTTGCCTACTTCCCGGCGCTATCGATTAATCTGCCAATTCACGGTATTTTAGCTGAAATATCGCCGGGAAAAACCAGCCACAATAATGACTTTTGTTAATTGTTGACCAGTGCCAAATAAAAACAAAAAGTAAAATTCAAAAACACAAACACAGCCCGCAAAGTCAACTGCTCTCTCTATCTCCTTCGGCAGTCCCCTCTCGTTTGCGCAATAAAAAAAGTACGTTCGCATCAAAGTCGAACAAAACAAAATGCAAAAAAAGCGGAAGGGGGGTGGTTGGAAGGAGGTGGGGCAGACAGGATATTTGGGGCGGCAAAGGCTAACAGCGAAAAAAATTCCAGTGCGTCTGTGTGAGTGTATTGGCATGGCTATGTATGTATGTACTTGTGTGCGTGGGTTTGGCGCAAAATTCCCCTTTATTTTTTTACACAATTTTTTTCCGCGTTTTTTAGAGCCCCCTCCCCTGCTCCTTCCCCTTCCTCCTTTCTCCTCTTTGAGTTTGGGTCAATGTTGGCGCTACTCCTGTTGTTTTTGTTGTTGTTGCTGGCAGGTGGCAGCGCTGTCGGCGTCGCAGCATTTGAATAGCGCCAGCAGAGACGCCGACTGCGACGCCGCCGCCCGCCGCCTATGCAACCAAAAACTTTTTTCTCTGTGTGCGTTGGATATTTTTTCGGTTTTTTTTTTTGCTGTGTCCTTTTTTTGTTGTACTTCTTTTTTTGTTGCTTCGCTTAGTTGTTGGCGCTGCTGCTGCTGCGGCCGCTGCTTTTTTTTTTCGAAGTTACCGCCTGGTTGTGTGTGTGTGTGTGTCGGCCGGCGGCGGCCTTTAGTAAGAGTAAGCCAGGCCCACACCCACACCACCCACTGGCACCCACACAGACTCAGGCACACCAACACGGACTCTGCTGCCGCTGCGTTTTGAAGCGCCGCAGTGGTGTTAGTGCGCGTTTTGTCTGTCTGCCTGTCGATGCTGCGTCGCCCGTGCATCTGTGTGTGTGCGAGAGTATCTGTGTGCGGTTCGCCCCCCAAAAATATATTGTTTCAGATTTTTTCATCATCGCTTTAGTTGAGTTTTTACATTGGTGACGGATCGTGCTCTCGGCTCCGGCACGCCACGCTCGCTAAGTCCGTTCAGTCTGCTCTGTGTTTTTTCTCCGTGCGCAACATGTTCCTTGACTCCGTACCGCCGACGATATCAACAAAGGATACGGATACGGATGCGAATGCGGCCACAACTACCAGTGCAGCCAGCGAAATAACAACACGACAACACCACGAGGAACGTCTTCGGCGAAACTCCTTCGCCTCCTGCTCGGCGTCGCGGCAGCGTTAAGAAAAAGTATCTCAGCCGCAAGGAAGGCGCCACGAAAAAAATATTGCAAAAAAATCGGAGAACTCACCCACACAGCCGTGGGTTTTTTCTTGACTTGGTCTCGGTTTCCGTTTCCGGTGGTACGTGTGCGCGCTTTTAGACATTTTCCGGCTTCCCCGCTCGTGTGTGTTTATTTATTGTTGGCCAAGAAAAAATATCGGGCGCCCGTGCGAGAGTGTGTGTGCTGGTGTATCTTAAGGATACGCGAGTTTCTAACGCAACGCGTCCTTGTCTTGGTCACGTGCAGAAAACCAAGAAGAAAGCCAGCCAAGCAGCCACAGCTGGCTTTGTTTTGCTTGTGAGCGAGTTGTGGAGTGAGAGAGTGTGTGTGTGTGTGCGGGGGAACTGGCGGGCTTTACATATAAATAATAAATGTTCTTCGCCGGTCGCCGTGCATGTGTTGGTGTGCCTGCACAGCGTATCAGCTGTTTCTTGTGTTCAATATCAAGGTCAAAACCACTCTTGCAACTTGGGCGTGCGTGTAAACAACCGATTTCCAAATCACATTTTATGACGAAACCCTTATTTTCACACTTAAATAGGAAGCTTTTCTTGTGAATTGTTTATCAGCAAACATTACTTTATCGCTGCCGTAAATTCCCTTAAAATGGATAATATAAAACTCGATCTAAAATTCATCGTACTTT